AGTTTGAGTAGCTCTTGTATCCCTTAACATAATTATGGCTTTACTAATATCATTTGAAGCAAAAGAGGTTATCTTCCCCTTTGACAAAATCCTTTCATGTCTCATTTGTTTTATTCACATTTCCTGCATTCACAACTGTTTTTGCCTCTGCTTTTCTGATTGTAGTTAAAGTTACAATTTGATCCATGATATTTTTCTTCTGAATTCCCTTTTTGGGCTCACTCTAATGAATCCCAGTAAGTCCTATGGGCTTCGATTGCAACTCACAGCATGCTCAACGAAGGAAGGTGTCCCATTTTATTGAATGCAAACACGTAGGCCTTTCATTTTCACCTCTGAAGAAGGGACATTGTGGCATTCCCAGCTGTCCTTTCTTTAACTTGGCTACTTTTCTTCCTGTCACTCCAGTCCTGCATCCTTCTCGAGTCTGCAGGGGTGACAAAAATAAAATGTTCAGTTTTGTGGATCGGCTCATAATTGTAAGTCATTACTGCTTTCTATTTAATAGTTGCAACTCTCTGCTTAACAACATAGTTTCTTATTAGAAAAGGTAGTAAACTTTTAAATTCTTCCAGGAGAATGATCCCTCTTAAAGCTTCATATATGACATTTGCTTCTAATGCAGGTATCCAGCTATTTGTCCAGGCTGTTTCGTTATATTTTGAAACTTTTCTCCATATGCTTCTGGACCTAACTCGTGCACTCAGAATAACCTGCATAAAAATGTCATAAACTTTAGAAGCTTCCTCCGATGGTGAAGCATAAATTTCCTGTTTTCTACCATTGCATCGGAAACATCCAGCTTTCATTTGGCAGCTTCATTGGGTACGCAATTTTCTCAAATGGCTTCAAGACTGCCTCCACACTGTTTTCCTCAAATGTTGGTTGGGCCTGTAAAAATTTAAACTATTTCCTTACTGGGCTTCAGATTATGACATATTTTCTGCAGTCAGAGCCTATATCAGCATCAGATGGTCCCTTTTTTAAGCATTATCATTTAAAGTTTCATGATCTCTCTCTCTCTCACCTCTGTGATCTCTTTTCTTTTGAAATTCTAGTTTTCCAAACAGTCTTTGTCTTCTTTTTCTCTCTGATATTGAAGGTCTTTTAGGTCTATTGTAGTTCTTTTTTGCTTCAATTCTGTTTTATGTTCAAACTGTTTAACCGTAACTTGATGCAAACTGATCCTTGACGTACTTGGTGTTATGTATCTCTGTTAAGCCCAAATGTGCTGGTCCTTCAATTATTTTTACATTTTACATTTCTAACCTGGCATGCAATTCCACTTCTGATGGGCCTGCCAATTCAATCAATCCGGCCATTGTGATCTCTTTTTAGTGGAACAGGTACAGCTGCTCCACCTGTAGGAAGGCTTTTGCAGCTTCTCGTGTGAACTTGTTACTTTTGGTCCAAAACCTGGTGTTGATTGTTTTAATGTTTTTCACTTGCTCTAACTGCACACCCAATATCTCATTGTCTTTCCGTAGAATCCCTTCAGTGTGGAAACAGGCCATTCCGCCCAACAAGCCCACACTGACCCTCCAAAGACCATCCCACCCAGACTCATCCACCTACCCTTTCTTTGTAACCCTACATTTCCCATGGCTAGTGCTTTGTTCCAAGATATCAGACAAGCCTGGGGACTTTGTACAAATATGGATAATGCACTGAAAATCGAACCTCACTATTCCTGGAGTTGTCACAAATAGAAAATTTCCATAAAAAACAAACTGCCCAATCTTACCCAACTGTCTCATTTAGGCTAAATGAGTATACACACTGGGTTTGTTCATTAATAAGAAAGTAACTATTTATTGCAATTGAGCTGTTTACAATTTGTTCTGAAGAAGAGTCATATTGAACTCTAAAGGTTAACTCTGTCCACAGATACTGCTTTGCTTGCTGAGCTTCTCCAGAATTTTCTGTACTTGTTTCAGATTTCCAATATCGACAGTATTTTGCTTTTATTTGTTTATAACCAATGGCAAGAAAGCAACGTGAATTGTTAACTTGTTACTCTATGATTTAAAATCTACCTCTTTTTAAAAATTTCCGTACGCATACAAACAGAAGCAGAAAAAGACAAGACATGGATATTTGGCAGGGGATGGGGTGGGGTGTTTTAAAAAAGAGGGGGAAGAGAAAAAGAGAAACAGTTTAATAGTAACAATCTGGACCACAGAAGTTGATAAGTTGTTTTTTGGTTCCTTCTACTTCCTTAAATTCTTTGCGAATGAGGTGAGGTTGTTTCCACACCAGTGCTGTCTTTCATTCATTGGTTGAGAATTTACCCCTTTCAATATCTCTAAAGTTTCTTTCCCCCTTTTTTCCCATTCTGTAGACAATTTGTCGATAAAATTTTACTGGGAAAATGATGAGTGAGAACTGGGTGGACAGAAAGATTGAGATGCTTTCTCTTCGCAGGTTAGCTGCTTATGCTGTATTGTCTCTATACGAGGCTGCAGTCACTGACCCAAAAACCAGTCAGATAGTTGTTACTCTGCTGAACCTTCCTGAGCCCACAACTTTCGATCAGTTGAAAAATTAATCAGAGGACTGAATCTGGGCAAAACTGCCCTGAACAAACACACATTGATTGATTGATTGATTGTCATATGTATAGAAATACAGTGAAAAGCTTTATTTACAAGCGGTACAGGCAGATCACAGCAAGCAAAGGATGTTCAGATCAAAAAGACTTAGAAGCATACAGGTTATATTGCAGGTTACATTATTTGAGGCTAGAGTGCATTCAACAATCTGATAACGGCCGGAAAGAAGCTGTACCTGAACCTGCTTGTGCATGTGTTCAGGCTTCTGTATCTTCTGCCTGACAGAAGGGGTTGTAGGAGATCATTACCAGAGTGTGATGGGTCTTTGATGATGTTGGCCGCCTTTTTACATCAACAAGCCATGTAAATAGAGTCCATGGATGGAAGGTTGGCTTCCCTGATGGTCTGGCGTGTGTGTACCACCTTCTGTAGCTTTTTACGGTCCTGGGCAGAGCAGTTGCCATACCAGGCTGTTATGCATCCGGACAGTATGGTTTCAATGGTGCGTCTGTAGAAGTTGGTGAAGGACCTTATGGACATGCCAAATTTCCTGAGCCACCGGAGGAAGGAGAGGTGTTGTTGTGCCTTCTTGACCGTTGCATCTGCATGGGAGGTCCAGGACAGGTTGTCATTTATCGTCACTCCGAGGAACTTGATGCTGTTCACTGTCTCAGCCTCAGTTCTGTTGATGTAGATGGGGGGCGTGTTCTCTTCCTTTCTTTCTGCAGTCGATGATCTGTTCTTTAGTTTTGCTGACGTTGAGAAACAGATTGTTTTCATTGCACCACGTCACCAAGCCCTCTATCTCCTTTCTGTATTTTGACTCGTTGTTGTTAGATATCCGTTCCACTACAGTCAGCAAACTTGTAGATGGCGTTCATTCGGAATTTTGCAACACATGTGTATGGGGAGTACACTAGGGTCTGAGGACGCATCCTTGTGGGGGGCAGGGGGGATCTCCAGTGTTGAGTGTCATTGTGGGGGAAGTGCGGTTACCTATCCTCACTGATTGCGGCCTATGGGTCAGAAAGCTGAGGATCCAATTGCAGAGGGCAGAGCCGAGACCAAGGTCTCATAGTTTTGAGATCAACCTGGAGGGGATAATGGTGTTGAAGGTGGAGCACAGTCACCAAACAGGAGTCTGATGTTGGTGTCTTTGATGTCCAAATGTTCCAGGGATGAGTGCAGGGCTAGGGATATAGCATCCTCTGTGGACCTGTTATGTCAGTAGACAAATTGTAAGGGATCAAGGCAGGTTGGGACTTTGGAGTTGATGTGGGCCATGACCAGCCTCTCGAGGCACTTCATGATTTTTGAAATCAGAGCTATTGTAATTGTAAGAGACATGGACCTGAAATGTTGAGAACTCTACCCCCACTGTTTGAGTAAGGCAATATTGTAGATACAACTCACAGTGAGTTCCAGTGACTTGTTTTAAAAATGACAGCATCGTTTTTCAGTTGTTTAGAACAATATCTTTTCCGTTTTTCAGTCCACAGTCCAAAAAGTAAAAGTGGACTTTACAAGGATGAGTAAACAAAAAAGTTTGCTGAACTTAATTGAATACAAGAGCCTGACTAGGGCACATCTTAGGAAGAAAATTGTAAGAGACATTATGGTGGAATGATTTCAAGGAAGAAGAGAAAAGAAAATGTATGGCGGTGGGTGGTTTGAAAATTGAATTAAGTTACTGGCAAAGGCTGGCACAGTACAGCAAGACTAGTAAGAGCCACATGAGCTATGGCATACATAATGCTGACTGGCATCACTGTGTGCTTGTACACATTAGTACTTTGAAACAAATTGAAATCATGCATTGTATAATCAGAAATTACCTGATTTAATATGGTACCTATTATAAAAAGCTATTTAATGCTATGTAATACTGCTTCCATAATCTAAAAAGGTAATTAATATGTTTGTATTTTAGTACTTCTGCTGCCACTGATGAAATGATGTTTAGGACACATGAATTTTATATCTTCCACAATTTCAATTTCATTTCACAGAACTGATTAAAAACACATTCGTCCCCTATGTTTGACTGCAAGACTGTCATCCGCTTAAGTTATTATGTAAAATACCATTGGGGATAGTTGAAGACTTAGTCATTCTTTGTTTGCCCATTTCTTTTCAGTATCTGGTGCAGAATATAACAGGAGTGAAGTGAAAATAGAGATGTATAATGTAGAAGATCTGTTATTAATATCACTCTGTCAAATATAATATTGGGTCCCTGGCTTGACCAGGCTGACATGGCATTTGGAGGGTTTAACAAAATTAATTACTAATGTGGATAGTTTGAGAAAGAGAAATTCTGTTGTTTTAACTTCCTAAAGTATCACAATTTTGTTATCCTGATGCCTCCATTAGCTGTAATCATTGTTTACAAAGCCTTTTCTTCCAGCTGTGGTCTTGACTTATTATTATTTTTACTCTGTTCCACAGCCCAATGGAAGCAGCCAGGGCAAAGTCCATAATCCATTCCTTCCCACTCCAATGTTGCCACCTCCACCTCCTCCACCTATGGCCAGGCCTGTGCCTTTGCCAGTGCCAGACACAAAACCAACCACCACATCTACAGATGGAGGAGCAGCATCACCTACTTCACCCAGTAAGTTTACTTCAGCAAAACCCCTGTAACTGTATCAAAATATGTAATGCTAGCCTTCTAAGGTCAAGCATTAGGTCACTTGTTTTTAATATGAATACATATTTAGACACAAGTTGGTTAACCCTTTGTCTTTCTAAACATGCTGCCCATCAAAGTCATGCATCTGAATAGAAAAAAATCAGGTTTTATTCCTGTTTTTCTTTTAATGTGAGGTGTTTTCTTCCTGTTGGTATCTATTTGATGGCTTCCAGATAAATGCTTTACATTGCACTTGCTTTTGTTTCTGTTTGAATTTCTTTTGTTTTTACTCCATAAATCACAAAATTTCCAAAACGTGAAAATTGCTCCTTTTTGTTTGTATCACCTTTCAGAATGGTTCCTTTAACGTGGTAAAGGACAAATCAGCAAAATGCCTTTGTACACATATGAGTATTTCCTATTGTCAGCGACCCATTTCTGTCCCGTTGAATGAGAGGCAAGTAGAGAAAAGTGAGACATTTTTGACACCCTAATCCAATTTTCAGGCGGGCTTTTAAATAGACCCAACATCGCTCAACAATAATAATAACTTGTACTGTGGAAGTCTTGAACTATTAATTAACCTATAATTGGGAAGTTTCTCATGGTTCCAAAAAGATGGAAAAAATCTTTACTTACCTCTTCATTTTGTGAGTTAAAAATAGAAATCTTATTAAGCATTCCATCTGTAGGATGGTTTCACTTTTTCGATTCCAACATCCACATTATAATGGACTTCCACTGTTGTAGCAACATCCTGAGGTGCTTCGCTGGAGCATTATAAAACTAATTATGAAACCAAATTGTGTAATGTGTTATTAGATCAGGTAGCCAAAAGCTTGGTCAAAATGTAAAGGGTAGTGTAGTGTCCTAAAGAAGGAAAGCAAAATAGATTAATGTCAGGAGGGTTTTCCAGAGTTTGAGGCCTAGGAAATTGAAGACACAGTCAGTGGTAGGGCAATAAAAAATGGGTGTTTAGTCAAGAGACAAGAATTAGATGAGTGGCAGGTATCTTGGAGGGTTGCGGAGCTAGAGGAGATCACAGAGGTAGGGAAGGGCAAAGTAATGGAGGGATTGAAAAATGGATGAAAACATTAAGAACATGACGTTGTTTGCCCAAGAGATGTAATCTGGTATTATATACTACATTGTGATTTAAATGTATAAATGACCAGATATGCCCCATGCTTTTCTTATAGGGACTGCTAAAAGCCACTAAGGGAAATACATGTTTTTGTAGGTTGTTTTTAAAAGTCATTTTAGGGCCAAGAGAAACAATCATGCTCCAAGTTGAAATTCCCATCCACACTTATAAGGGAATTTGATTTTTTTTTCTCACTCCCCCACCTTCAGTCAGTATCGTTGAATCTAGATTGCACCATTTGTCTCAAGTATTGATCCTTAGACATATCACAATCATCAATGTGCCAACACATCAGTAATCAGCAGTCCACACACTGAATAAATGTGGTCTCTGGTGATGTTTGACTGAGAGGAGTAATTCGCACAAACCTTTAGGTTTTTCCCAGTAATAACATACTCGTTAGAAAGGATAGAAAATATAAGCACACAATCAATTGTTTGAGGCTTATTCTTAGGACAGTTTTGTTAAACCAGCACACTATCTGTAAGCAGCCTGTTAGTGATAAAGTATAAAAGCAAGCAAATTCTGCCTGCTTGATGTAATCATAGATCGGGAACTGGTATTCTCTAGTGAATCACAGTAACTCTACTATATATGGACAAAAATAATATGATCTGTAGTAAATTCTGGCTAAATGTAATGAAACATTGTAGAACTCAGCAGAAAATGCTGCACATATGTTGTTAAAAGCATATGGGAAAGTGGAAAATATAATTTGCCACTAGTAAAAATGAGGCAACAATGTACTTAAACAATCATTATAATTGTTCCTTTTATTCATCATTGTGGATCTAGCCCATGATTAACTGCATTTGCCTACAGTTGGGAAGGGACCACATCTTTATTTGTCCAAAGAGTTACCTTTGCCTATTTTCCTTCCTGCTAAAACCATTTTATTTTATTATCTTTGCAATTAATTGGTTGGTTTTCTTACTCCAGTGGTTTGTCTCTACCACTTCTAATCTTTGTGGAGTAACTGATACATTGAGGAACTGTTTGCTTCTTGACAGCATTCTGCAGTCCTACAAGTGGAAAGCCATGCCAGCTCAATTCACTTGTATACAGTAACTGTAAGAAACATTGAAAATAGGAGCAGAAGTAGGCCATTCAGCCTTTTGAGCTTGCTACACCATTGAATATGATCATGACTGATTATCCAACTTGGCACCCTGTTCCCACTTTCTCTTCTTATCCTTTGATCCCTTTATCCCTAAGGACGATATCTAACTCCTTATTGAAGGCATTCAATATTTTGCCCTCAAGCGCTTTCACTGGCAGAGTGTTCCACAGACTTACCACTCTCCTCATTTCAGTCCTAAATGACCGACTCCATATATTTAGACTGTGACCCCTGGTTCTGGACTCCCCAGTTATCAGGAACATCCTTCCTGCGTTTACCTTGTCTGGTTATGAGAACCCCGCTTCTTCTTCTAAACTCATTCATTGAATGTTTGAAGAACATTAAAAGATAGTCAACAATGTCCTGCAGACCTTATGCTGTTCTCTGATTAGGGAGAGATGGCTGGTGGTGGTTTAACCCGAGGGTCATCACACCTCAGGTGAGGGAGAGGTTGAGAAGGAGAGTCCTTCATGGTAACCTCAGCCGGTGTGGGAAATGAACCTACTTGGTGTCATTCTGCATCACAAACCAACTCTGGAGCCAACTGAGCTAACTGTAGGAACATTATTTCACTTAAAAAAAGTTTTGTTTGGCACCTCTTTGAAGGAAGAATTTGAGAGAAGAATTCCTCTGTCTGTTACCTGTAGCAACGTAGTAATATTTAGAATAAATTCTCACATTCTTTTACTGCATACTTTTAATTTTATGAGAAATACCCAAGAGGAGTTTTTTTACAAATCTATTATTGATGTTGCTACATACAGTCATAAGTCATAAGGGCATTTTTACCCCAATATTTGAGAGTCTTTCTGTTGTTAACTTCCAGCTGATCTTCTTTAAATACCACAACCAAATTAGGACAATATCACTCTCCTGTAAAACCATTTTTAAGCTCTTATTTCATTTTATTTAGCTTCCATTATTAATGTGAAACATTGAAAGAGCTAACACAGGAGTAGTTTCTACTGAGAGCTGGGGACAAGTTTTTTCATTGCTATCTGTTCCAGTTTAATGATAGTTATCTTGCTTTATAGCTAATATTTAGCTGTTTTCTGTACTGAAACATTGCCTCTGAATGCACCTCTGCACCTGAGGTGATATTTCCATTTGAATTATCTTGTTTATGTTTTAGCTCACTAATTCATATTGCTTCCTTATTTCTCAGATTCTTACATCACAGTAAATAAAAGATAACCAGTGGTACTTTCTGTGACCCTTTACATTTATGTTTCATGTTAATATATCTTGAAAGAAATTAAGATTAGGTAAGGAGGATTGTTGTAGCACTTTGGTTATTACCCTACAAAAATAAGAAAATTGTCTTGTCCATACATGTGTCCTTTTGAATCTGCAGTTTTTTTCATGGCTCAAGTCTATTATCAGGTGATTAAAAAAAGAGTACCAGGAATAAGCTTGGGTGAGTGCCTCTGTAGACATTGCAGTCTTTCAGTCAGGCTTAAGATGTTTGCTGTTCGTGTACGACCCACTGCTGCTTCCTGAACGCATGTATCCCTTCCCTTCACAGCCTACTCGACACCCAGCACCTCCCCTGCAAACCGATTCGTGAGTGTTGGACCACGGGATCCCAGCTTTGTAAATATCCCTCAACAGCCACAGGTGGGCAGCTTTGAACCTTTCTGTATTCAGTGTAGCTTTTTGTGGTCTTGTATCTCTGTGCAGTGAACATCGTTCATTTGCTCCTATCAGACAGCATATTGTTATAGCCTTGGGGATCGTTCAGAAATGTCTTTACGCTCCACTTGTAAAAGGAATATGCCCTTTTTATTGGAACATACCGGAAGTCTGCCTATAAGCTGAAAGTAAAATCCATGTGTCCTTTTAGGCTATCTGACATTTGACGCTGTTTGAAGTGCAAACTTTTCAAAATGAAAAGATGTTGTCTCCCTCTTTATCTTCAGAAAACTAATGAAGTACGTCAGCTTCCTAGTTTTGCATTCACATTTCTTCCTACAATCACTATTTAGGTTTTCTCTGGAAAAAGCAATTAAAGTGTTCTACGAATTCTAGTTTATAATATATGGTTTCAGCTGTTTTATAATGTCTTGCATGCCACAGGATTTTATTCTGCATTTTTGAAAGATCTGTATTAACTTAATTAATTGTTTGAAACTAACTTGATGTATAGGTTTTGACACTTTGACATTATTGATGTATTTAATGTATTTTCAGTTGTGTGCAGGATAAAAAACTGTATATTAATACTAATTACATATAAAGTAGCATTAAAGTACATAACACATCATACAGGCCTTGAGAAAAGTAACATCTGTTTTATTTGACACATTTTTTAAACTGAATGCAACAGTGAGGAAAGGAGGCTTTTGTAGTACTAGGGTGTAATGAGAGTTGCTGTGAAAGACTACAAACTGGCACAATGTCCAAGTCCAATCTCATCTTACTTGCATAGTAAAGTCTCTAAATGTCTTCAAGAACCATTGTGCAATTTTTCTCACTCAAACAAATAACATAATTTCTAGCTGTACGGACTAAATAAAAAGAACAAGGATTAACAAGAATTAGGAATTTAATCTAAAATGCTGGTGCTAAAATGTAATACTTTCTGTTTGGAAGTTCAGAATTTTTCAACTTTCATCTGTGTCCATCCTAAGCTGATTCTGCACATAACCAGTGATTGATGATGCAATAGTATGCAAAGTTTTAATACCATCAGTTGCAGACTGGAGTGCTCCAGCAATTGCAGGCTCTGTGGTTTACAAATGACATTATAAATGGACAATTGAACCTTTTTATTATTTTAAAATTGATGGCTCAAGCTGGTAGCCTTGATTGTTTCTGACTTAAAATCTTGCTTTCTTATGCTTGCCTTCTAATCTTTTAAACAAATATTTATTCAAATAACTCTTAATGCTGAAGGCTGCAAGTTTTATCTCAGTGAAGCCTAATAGCAGTGCTGATGCATTAACATTATATGTGATAGAGTGGGAGGAGGAGATAGATTATGTCAGTGGCAAATTTGTGATTTCGAGAGATCTGCAGCAGGGTGGAGATGATCATCATAAAGGATCTGGGAAAGACTGGATCTTAGATGGCCTGTGTACTTCTTTAGTTGGGAAATAGTGTATGACAGCTGCATGGATGAACCTAAACTTTAGGGGAGAACTGAACAAGCAAAATGCACAAAATGTTTGACTCTTTCCAGTTGTGTTTTCCCCATACTTAATTTTGTTTGCTGTATAATAGAACTTACTGACCGAATGTAGTGTTAAAAAATTGTCTTTGTTCCAGTTTACAAATTCTAATGTGAAATATGTTTGTAACATTTATTTGCTAAGGAATGTTCTTTATCCAGCATGAAATAAGTCTAATTGAGATCTTTGAACTTGGGTAATTATTGTCATTTGGTAACAGTGAATTTGAGTATTGCTGAAGAAAGACATATTTGTCGAAGCTTTGAATCTTGCATTCATCAGAATAATTTGCAAGTATACCATTTTCAAAGGCAAATCGATATTCATATTGCATGAGGAGAGAGTGCTGATTGGTTGACAGTTGGTCCTGGTGGTTGTGTTGCCATTGAGAATGCACCAGTTGATGATTGACAATTAACTTCCAGGTGTATTAAGTTTTGGAATAAACGGGGTTAGCACTGATCAAGGATTGGTGTGCTTCAAACACTCTGAATGATCCAGTAAACTTTCTCCACTTGAAGAAACACACCAATGTTAGACACATTGTTGCAGCTTTTGAAAGCACAGTCAGGTTGGTTAGGATTAGTACCTTACTTACTGTGGACAGCTGAAGGGATGTGATGTTTGATATTTGCCAGTCTTTGGAATGTATGACCTACATTTCTGGCATCATACCAACACTGACATTCATATTACCTCATTACATATTTGTGTGATAGGCAGAATATCATTCTGGCTTAATGGCAGCATCCTGTTAGTGGCAAACTAAGCAGTGTTTAGAGTGAAACGCTTACTTCACCTGTTGCCTGAACTTTAAGGTACCTAACGCTTCCAGGGTCTTGTAAATTTCAGTACCAGTGTGATGGCAAGTACCTAAACAGTACTTTACAAATTCTGGCAGATCAAATAAAATAGCGCTTCCCTTTGGCTGTTCACAAAAATCAAGGTAATCACTGTACCCAACCAGCTCTTGCTTGCAAAACTCACTGTGCAATATCCAACTGTAGATGTGAGTTTGCAATTCAACACCTGCAATTTGCTGGATAGCCTTGAGTATCTGAAGAATAATGCTGCCAATTCAGGGCATTTGTGTTTGCAGTATAGAGCACTTGTATTTACATTTCCTGGAAGCAACTCGCATGCCCTGTTCTTTGCAGCCACATAACATTTTGTCAGACTGTACCTGCTTAACTCCATAAAGTAGGTGACAGGCATTTCTGATTCATTTCTCAGGACAATGCTTTGACCAATCAGAGGCTACCTGCTTTGTTTAAACAAAGCCTGACTGTGAACTGTCAATCATCATTATTTGGCACATTCTCTATAACACTACTTCTATCAGTCATTGTCCAGTTGCCAATTAATGAGCACTCTGTCTTCATACTGTTACATTGGTAGTCTTGATAATAGTCCTGATGAATGCAAGATAAAAAGCTCCAACAATGTGATTTCCAGGGATTAGTTCATTATAGCAAAACAATAGATTTTTCCTAAAACTAGCAAAGGAGCAAATCATGTTAATGACATCGCAAAGTGGTGACATACACCATAAATACAAGAGAACATAATGCTTCTAAATGCAGTGGCTTTACATGATCTTGTAGTGACTTGTCTGTAGCGTAATATATTTGGTGTTGTTTGTGTGTTTATTAACAGCTCTAGTTTACAGTTGTTCAGACTGTACAGGTTAAGCAGCATGCCTCTGAATCCTCTTGGATTGGGAAAAGATGGGTCACAGAAAGTACACTGCTGGCTGAAAGATAGAATAACTAAAGCTGCAGAATTTGTATCTGAACGACTGAATAAGCTGTGATCTAAATCAAATCCTTTTTTAAACATCTACTAATAGAGACCTTGCCACAAAAGCTTCATTTCACATTGACTGCATGTTCTTTTTAAAAAACTAATAAATTCCAAGTAGGTTGAGGAGTAGCCTTAGCTCTTTAAGCTGTTGATCTGCAGTTACTGCGGCCTGAACAAGAAACTGCAAACAATAATCCAGTGCTACAACATGTTTTACTGGACAGTTAGAACATTGTTTTCACTCCTTAAGTCTTATCTAGACCTTTATTGATATTAAAAGGCATTTTCCCTTCTATTTTAATGGTTAGAAATATTTTAAGGCAACTTTAATTGCTGGATTTTAACTTATCTCAAAATAATTGAGAACAATTTACAGAAGGTCATGCACAAAGATTGCCGATCTTACAGTTGACCTAAATTAGCAAATAGATTGTTAAGAATCCGTCATTTTAAGGCAGTTAAATATGTGTAAACATTCTCAACAACCAAAAAGGGGAAGGAGATCATTCTTCCTATTTTACTAAGAGTCCTGCTTTATATGCAAATGCTAGAGACATTCATTGTATTCCATGAGTAGGCGATGCTGCATTTCAGAAGTCAGATTGGACTGAAGGTCTGACCTCTGGAATGTGGTTTGTTCATGCTGATTTATGCATATATCCGGAGTTAGTGCCATAATAAACAAACCCACCTTCAGAGGTTAATTTTGTACATGTACTGATTCAGAAGCTGATTCAATCCTATCAGGTGATGGGATACACATTACCCTTCTTCTTTCTTTTCCAACAAACTTCCTTTTCCCATAAATATGTTTTATCTAGCCAATCTATTTTGCTGCAGGCAATGTAATTTAATTTGATTTAATTACCTCAAGAGCATCAGTATAACTGGAATGTTCCACTTATACTGTGTGTAGATGGAAAATACTGAATATGGATTACCTATCAGATATCAGTCATTGAACCTGGCCACTCAGTAAGGAAATGGTCAGTTAAAATTGAGGCAACAGTGCCTCATCATACCCTTCTTCCATCAGTGGGATATCATTTTAAGGTACTGTTTTTAGATGCATTTGATATGATTAGACCATGCAAATCCCACTTTGTTATTTGTCAGCAAAGTTTTTCAACCATCAAAGGAATGAGGGGTGAAATTCGTCTTTGACATAAAAGGAAATCAAGCAGGATGTAAATTAGGATTTCAGTTTCTTGTCATTGAAATTGTAATGCTGCTGAAGACCAATTCACCTCCATTGCATCCAAAAGGCATGATATAAATAAAGCACACAACTTGATGCCTGACATTTAGACTATTCATAAACCCAATACACAGCTGTTGGTTGTATAATATAAATCAGGTGACACTGGTGCCGTCAGTAACCTCAATCTGAAGAGGAGCAATGGGTGACTTTGGACCCATGGAATGCAAAGCTTATGACTGGGACTTGACCTTATTTCCTTTCTGGATCTGGTGTACATTATCTGATGGAGATTGTTTGCCACATTAGTCAATAACTTCATTATTGTTACATCATGCAACTATCAGGAAAGTAGAAGATGAAACAGATTAATGTTAATTTCAGCTTTATTTATTACCTCAAAAGTACAATCCAAATCCTCTGCAAATATTCTTTGTAATTGCTGT